CGAGTTCGGCCCTTTTGATTTTCTGACTCCAACTTCTTACACATTTCATTGTAATATTTTACTTTGTCATTCCGTGCTGCCTTTTGAAATCTTCTATTCAACTCTTTAATATCTTGAATTCTTCCTTCTGCTTTGGCTTCTCTGCATTCCAGTGCAGTTTTCAGAGTCTCTTCTGACATCCATTTTGGTGGTGTGTATAAAGAGGCAAATTATCTCTTAACAGTAGACCAGCACTCAAAAGAAAATTTTGTCTCTACATTAAAAATATGGGCACATAGATGTGTATTTATGCTTTAAGGCAAAACATAGTATCTAATGCCTATATATTTGTGTGTATACAAGTTATATACACATAAAAAAATCCATGCCTTTAAGTCCATTTCTATTCATGCCACTGGCTTTCCAAGACTATAAATCTTAGGAGATTTCCTTATATTGTTGGGCAGAGTACCTAGTAAGCCTGAAACGATACCTTTCTATTGGCAGGCAGCACTTAACCCCCTCCACCGATGGGAGTCTTTTACACAATTCACAATACTCACTGCCTGCTGCCCTTCCAGCGGGGTCAGACTCACAACCTCCCTCCATGGTGTTTCTAAGATTGTATATTTTTTTAATTGTGATTTTAAAGGAAGTTGGCTTGTCATTCATTCATTATTGCACATTTTCTTCCCTACCACCCCCTAGTTAGCTTTTTAAAAAATATATTCACTCATTGTTGCATAATTTCCTCCCCCACCCTCCAACCCCTTCCCATGTCCACTTTGCTATGGACCTCTTATTCTGGACTATTGTCATACAAATAATCCATAATCATATATTCCTTTTAAACAGTTTTTTCCTTCATCTGTCCCAATGCAGTGTTCATTATTTATTTCCTCTTTTCTTAGTTTTCCCCAACCCCCATGTCAGTCTTGTTTTATAACAGTGGCATTATGCAGTATTTACAACCATTGCGGAAGGCAGTTTGGTGCTTTCTCAAAAAGTTGGTAATAGAAGTATAATTTCACCCAGCACTTCTGCTGCTAAAAATATACCCTAAAGAGACAAGAGCTGCCACCCAAACAAATATATGCACACTCATGTTTCTTGCTGTGTTATTCGTAATAGCAAAGAGATGGAAGCAATCCAAGTGCTCACCAACAAATGAATGGGAGGAAAAGCTGGTATATTCACACAGTTGAATACTACATAGTACTGAAAAACAAGGAACTAAAAAATACAACACAACATGAGTGTCCCTCGAGGACACCATGCTGAGTGAAATATCTCAATCACAAAAATACAAATACTGAGATTGTCAATTTTATGGGAGGAGATTGACCACCTTTCTCCCACTAGAGTCTGGTAGCTTTGAACTGATCTTTGGTGTAACACAGCTGCTGTAACGTGCCTTCAAGTTGGATCAACTCGTAGCTGACCCTCAATGGGTTTTTTGAGACTGTAAATTGCACAGAAGGAGCTGTTCAACTTTCTCCTACAGAGTAACTGTTGGATTTCAACCACCTGCCTTTGGGTTTGGGTTGACAGTGCAGCTCCTTACCATTAGGCCATCAAGGCTCCCTATAGTTATTATTTATTCTCATTTTCATTCTCTCTCTCTTTCTTTCTTTCTCTCATCATCATCATCATCAGGTTGGAACTAACTCATAAATGGCCCTCCAGAAGGTTGAGAATGAAGAGAGACAGTTAGTTGCTTGTGAGGAGATTGCTCATCCTTTTCCCACGGAGCAACTGATGGTTCAAACTGCATTCTTTTGGGTTGGCAGTACAACTTCTTACCACTAAGCCACCAGAGTTCCCTATATTTATAGTGTTAGTGTTGTTATGTATCTTTGAGTCATCATAACTAACCCTCCAAGTGGGGTTTCGGACGCAGTAAATTATACAGGAACAGACTGTCCATCTTTCTCTCGCAAAACAGCTGGTGGATTTGAACTGCATGTCTTTGGCTAGTCAGGATAGCTCCTTACAAACACACACACACACACACACACACACACACACACATCCCTTATATGGGTAAGGATGGAGGAGGGACAGCACATGACAGGAAGACTGGGGAGGAGATGGATTAACCTAGCAATGCGAGTAGATATGTCAGAAACAGATTGGCTTGAGATAGGGCAGGGTTCAAAACTATTGCACGTAGGGTTGCTATGAGCTGCAAATGACTTGACAGTACATAACAATAACAACAACAACATACCATTGCTGGGTACTTTTGAGTTGGAACTAGTTCATAGCTTACCCTCCAGCAGGTTTTCAGAGGCAGTAAATCACTTGGAAGAAGATTGTCTATCCTTCATAAGGATTTGAACTTTATGTTTTTGGAATTTTAATGAAGCTCTTACCACTAGGCCACCAGATCTCTCTATATTCACCAGCTGCTCCAAGGGAGAAGGATGAGCAGTCACCTCCCATGCGATTAACTGCCTCTGAAAACCCACCAGAGGGTCAGTTATGGTTCGGATCCGACTCTATGGTACACAACAAAAATGAAATTATTTTTAACAAACACCCTATAAACCTTTGTTCTCCAAAACTTCAGCTGAGTTGTTGTTGTTGTAGGGGCTATGCCGTACAGTGACCCTATGAACAATAGATCTGAATCCTGCCCTATCCTATGCCATCCTCATTATCTCCAATATCCTTAAACCCATTGAAGCAGTCACTGTGTCAATCCATCGTGTTGAGGGTTTTTCTCTCCTTCGTTGACCTTTCCAAGGACAGGCTCCTCTTAACAGCATACTCAAAGACAAGTTTCTTGTAAATGTCTGGAATCACAGAACTCATCATCTCTCACTTGACAGCAGATTCTAGCTCCATTATTGATATCGGAACACAGAACATATAGGTGACAGCCTTTCCTTGGTTCAGCTACCCTACTGGTCCACCTGATGTGTCTCTTTCGCAACCTTTAGCCAGCTGTTCCCAGCCTGGGATGGCAGCGTGCCTCGGCGGTCAGTCCGGCAGGGGTCGCTGCCTGGCCACAGTTGGTCCGGCGGGCCGCGCTCTGATTGGCTGGAGGCGGGGATCCGCGCCCACTCCCGCCCACTGTGTCGGCTAAGTGCTGCCCTGCGTCATCTCTGTCCGCAGTGTGCGGGACTCCTGGGCAGCGGCGGGGCTGGAGTGACGCGGCGCAGGGGTCAAGACCAGGGAAAGAGGGACTGGCTGGCACGAGAGGCGGCCCACACCCAGCAAGATGCTGTCCTGGCGCCTGGAGACGAGCTCCGAGAAGGCTGAGCTGCAGGAACTGAACGCCCGGCTTTATGACTATGTGTGCAGGGTGCGGGAGCTGGAGCGTGAGAACCTGTTCCTGGAGCGGGAGCTGCGCGACCGGCAGGGCCAGGAAGACGTGTGGGCCGAGGGCCAGGTCCGCTTCGCCTCCGAGGCCCGCGTCTTGCGGCAGCAGTTGGATGAGCTGAGCTGGGCCACGGCGCTGGCCGAGGGTGAGCGCGACGCTCTGCGCCGGGAGCTGCGTGAGCTGCAGCAGCTGGGCGCGGAGGAACGCGCTGCCCGCAGCCGCCGGGAGGCCGAGGTGGGCGCACAGCAGCGCGAGCTGCAGGAGGCGCTGGGCGCGCGCGACGCCCTCGAAGCTCTGCTAGGCCGTCTGCAGGAGGAGCGCCGCGGTCTGAACGCGGCCCACGAGCGCGACGTGCGGGAGCTGCGCTCGCGCGCTGCCCGCCTGACCATGCGCTACCACGCTCGTGCCACTGGCCCTGCGGCACCCTTGCCGCACCTGCAGGAGGTGCATGACAGCTACGCGCTCCTAGTGGCCGAGTCGTGGCGGGAGACGGTGCAGGCTTATGAGGACGAAGTGCGGGAGCTGGAGGAGGCGCTGCAGCGAGGCCTGAATAGCAGGCGTGAGGCCGAGAAAGAAGCGCGGTTGTTTGCGCAGGAGGTGGGCTTGCTGCGGCGGGAAGCGCTGGAGCTGGGGCAGCTGCGCGCTCACTTGGAGGAAGAGCTGCTGCGGATGCGGGATGATTACGATCTGCAAGTCAAGGAGCAGCAGGTCCGTAGGCAGGAAGTCCATTCCTTATGAGGGCTCTGATCACCTAGTGCTGGGCAAGCGCTTGGGGGGTTCCTGGGCTACCGCCCATTAACTCTGAAAGGACCCTGTTCACGGGCTGGGCTTGGCCCAGAGGTAACTTGGATGGCCTGGGGACTTAGCACTGTTCTGCTGGGTCTCGGGCCCCAGCGCTTCTCTAGCCCTGTAAGAATTCTGTTGGTTAGTCCATCATCCAGTGGGCCAGTGCCTGTGGCGGATCCTGGAAACCTGTCTCAGTTTTCCCCAGCATACCAAGTTGTCGATGTCTTAACGTGACTAGGTGGACTTCATTTTTCTGTGTTTCTTTTGTAGACTCATAACACATAAGAAACCTAGATGGCTTCCAAAAATGACAAGACTGCTCCTTTTCTGATACGTCCTGGAGTTAGGAGACAAGTCATTTCTCAGAGCCATTCAGGATGGCAGCCACATCCGGAGATAAGGCTTCCCAGAGGAAAATCTAAAATCTCTGACATAAACGTTTTATTTTTCCAGAGCGAGTTACCCAGCTCGAGGCTTGTGGAAGTGGCTGCCTGGTTTGTTGTTAGTCATCATGCAGAATAGAGCTTAGCACACTTTTGGGTGGTGCAAAGGTTGTGGAAAAGAGAATGCCTGCCTAAGATGCTGCTGTTGTTGTTGTGCATCTAGGAGTCAGAACTGACCCTCCAGTGGGTTTTCAGAAACAGTAAATCCTAAAGGAGATTGCCCAGCTTTCCCCCACAGAGCAGCTGATAAGAGTCTAACTGCATCCCTTTCGGTTGGCAGCGCAGCTCCTTACCACTATGCCACCAGAGCTCCTCAATATGCTATTGTAGTCATGCAGGATAGTTTCAGCCTTTTTCATTTCAAAGATCTTCTGACCCAATCGAAGACCCTTAGCTATTTATTGTTTTACATCCAGTCTAGCTTTAGCATTTAGCCTGGCACCTGTCCAAATCCAGCCAGTCTGGAAATACACTATTAGTAGTTCAAACCCTAGTTTGAAAGACCATACACATAACTTCAGAAATATTTTAAGAAAACCATTTTTAAGTAAAGATTTATGCTAGAATAATTTAGTGTTTTGTAAAAAAAAAAACAAAAACAAAAACAAAACAACAAAAAAAACCGCAGTGTGTGGTCACTTTGCCGTGAAGGACTGGCACTATGACAAGTGTCTACAAATAAGAGTAAATATCTCTTAACTGTTGCACTGCACTGGGGTTGTATTATCAAAGAGCTGGAGCCCAGATGGACACTCCTCTAAGGCAGCGCTGAATTGTTTAGAATTTAGGGGTGTGGATTCTTGCCCTTTGCCACATTGCTTTGGAAATCTTCCCTGTGGTGCCAGGATAGGGACAGCCTCAGAGTAAGCTAATTCTGGTGTGCTATTTGCTCCACAAGTGTGACAGTGCCCCGTGCCCACAGGACTGTTAAGGGGATGTTAACAGTTGTTGGTAAGGCAGAGTTTTGTGGAACTTTTAGCCAGTGTGTGTTGTGAATGCCTGTCAAACTTAGGGTCCACACGAGCCAGTGTTTAGGGACCCTTACTACCATCTCCAAGAACAGTGCAAATTTGGAAAATGTCTCTTTTAAAGGTTGTTGTGTGAACTCGGTATTCACTCTTCATTTAGAGTCACAGTTCACTGGCATGTTCTCAAAGCTCCTCTTCTAGGCTCCTGTGATATTTGAAAATGTTTTCCCTAGGGCTGAGCCAGGACCCCACCCTCAGCTTCTTAGCCACTGGTATCTGTCTTGTTAAACTTTGCTTTTTTTACCCCCTAACAGTAAATATCAAAGACAGTGTCAATAAGAACTTGGATTTTGTTATGCCAATTTGTGGGAGTTTTACCTTACCCATGGCTTCAGTCTTTCCTGACCTGATGATGATGATAATGATGGTCATTGCTGTTGAGTCATAACTAACTCACAGCTGACTGTCCTGCCCGCTTTCAGAGTTTGTAGATAGCACAGAAGGATAAAGTGGATTTGCACCTACAGGGAAGTGCAGCCTTTTGGCTAGAAGCACAGCTCACTGCGCCCCCAGAGCTCCCTAGTGTTTACCTAGTTAGTATAAAACAGTCATTTCCAATTGCCTTCTAAAAGACTCCACAGCAAGCATTTGTTTTGTTGTTTTTGTTAGGTGCTGTCAAATCAAGTACAACTCTTAAGGACCTTATGAACACACGATTAAACACCAAGCCCCTGATTTAAAAAAAACAAAAAAACAAAAACCCAAACTCTATGAAAGTTCATCTGGGGGAAACAGAACATATTCTAAAATTTTATTTCACTAATACGCTACAGTAAATACTCAATGAAGATTTAGTCTTTATTGTATGTTTCTTGTGTGCCAGACACCACAGGATCCAGACTCATTACACATATTCACTCTCAGTCTTCCTGCCAGTTTTATGAGGTAGGTACTCATATTAAGCCTATTTTACAGATAATTAAACTGAGGCATATAGACCCTCAGTTGTAAGCATCCATGGCAGGGTTCTACTTCAGGTCATAGGATTGTAATTACTCTTCCCAAGTGCTGTGCCTTAAGCTCAGATGCCTTTTATATTCTTCTAATTGCTGCTTTTGTAATGGGTTTGGTGATAAGTCCCTTCCTTGCACTGTGTTCTCTGTTTTAAGTGATAAGATGGAAACACTCGGTCCTAGGGATGTGAGCCTGTAATTGGATCCTGTGGTGGTGGACCCTGTGCCTGCTGCCCAGGATCTCACACTTCTGCCCCAGCCTCTGTAGCTTGAGGGGGGAAGATCCGTGCTTGGACTCTTCTGGGAGTTCTTCCCAGATGGCCTGCATGCCTTCTCCCTATTAGGTGACATTCCTTGGTCTGCTGCAAGCAAGATTTGCCAGGGAAGGGTTTGCTGAACTGACACCCTTGTTCTCAGCCTTTTATATGTAACTTGGATCACATGAAGCCTGAGTGGCATACCCTGCCTTCCAGTCCACAGGGTAAGACGTTTTTAAAACATCTGTAATTAATACCAGGCTTACCCTAGAACACTGAGGGTCTTGCTTTTTCCCCCCCTAAGGAATAAAAAGAAAAGTTAACTATTAGATAGATCTTGGATACGTCCAAAATTTATCCATATTGTAGTTTCTTCTCATAGATACAATAAATATTTCTGTGAGTAAAACAAAACCACACAGTTGCTCTATGAGGCATTTCCAATGATGTGAGCCTATAGGCAAAGCCCCATCTGGACAGACCTCAAAGAGAGTCTTGCTTTTTAGGGGGAGTCCTTAACCACTGAAGCAGTCTGAGCTTGTTGCTTTGTTTTGTTTTTATTATTAGACTATTTTATTTACCAAATTTGAATACATTGTTTTCCAGAACAGATTCTTCTAATTTCCCTCACCCACCATCAAAACAATCCCATGATTAATCCCCCTCCCCCTGTACATCATCATCCCTCTGCTTTCACCCTTCCCCACCGCCTTGGATCCTTATACTCATTCTACAATGATGGTCTTATTCAGCATTTGTCCTTAAGAAACTGAATATTAGTTCACTTAACATAATGCTCTCCATTTCCTCCCAAGTTAGGTAATAATTTACAAAATTCATTGCTTTTGCATGCTGTGTGATATTCTATTTAGTGTGAATGTATCATAATTTCTCAATCCATTCATTTGTAGTTGGACATCTGGGCTGTTTCCATGTTCTTGCAATGGTGAATAATGCTGTTATGAACATGGGTGTGCAAGTCTCCATTTGTGCCTCAGTTCTCATTTTCTCAGGGTATATTCCAAGTTTAATTTTCAGCAGAATCTTGCTTGCATGTGATATCAATGATATTGTTCGATAATCTCCTCACTCTGTTGGGTCACCTTTCTTTGGAATGGGAACAAATATGGATCTCTTCCAGTCAGTTGGCCAGCTGGCTGACACAACCCTGCTTGCTGAAACTGAGGAGAACCTGAAGCACTTGCTGCAGAAGGTTAAGGACTGCAGTCTTCAATATGGATTGAAGCTCAATATCAAGAAAATAAAGATTCTTACCACTGGGCCAATTGGCAGCATCAGTATGGGTGGTGAAGAGATTGAGATTGTTCACAGCTTCAGTTTGCTTGGCTCCACAGTCAACACTCTTGGTAACAGCAGCTAGGAAATCAGGAGCCGAATTGCATTGGGAAAGTCAGCTGTGAGGGACCTCTCAAGAGTACTGAAGCGCAACACGTCAGGCTGGAGACTAAGGTGTGTCTGATCCAGGCTATAGTCTTTGCAATTGCGTGCTACGCATCAGAGAGTTGGACAGTGAATAGGGATGATAGAAAGAGAATTGATGCCTTTGAGTTGTGGTGCTGGAGAAGAGTGTTGAATATACCATGGACTGCTAGGAGAACAAACAGGTTTGTCCTGGAGAAGGTGAAGCCAGAATGTTCCCTGGAGTCAAGGATTCTGAAGCTTCATCTGACATACTTTGGGCATGTTGCAAGGAAGGACTGGTCCTTGGAGAGGGACATCATATTTGGGAGAGTGGAGGGGCGGCTCAGGAGAGGAAGACCCTCAATGAGATGGGTTGATTCTGTGAGTGGAGTGGTGGGAATGAATGTGTTTGAGGTTGGCACAGGATAGAATGGCATTTAGGGCTCTTGTACATAGGGTGGCTATGAGTCGCAAACGACTCAATGGCACATAACAACAACAACAACATATTCCAAGTAGTGGAATAGCTTGGTCACATGGAATTTTTATATTCAGCTTTTTGAGGAAGCACCAAAATGCCTTTCAGAGTGGTTGTACCATTTTACATTCCCACCAACAATGTGTAAGAGTTCCTTTCTCACCAAATTCTCTTTGCCACTCTTACTGGAATGAGATGGTACTTCATTGTGGTTTTGATTTGCATCTCATTTCTTGTCAGTGAGTTTTGAGCATTTCTTTATGTGTATATTTGACATTCAAATATCTTCCTCTGTGAAAATTTTTTCCGTGTCTTTTGCCCATTTTGTAATTAGATTATTA